TAATAATCCATTGTGTGGATATACCATAGTTTGTTCATCCAGAGAATGGAGAACTGTTGATGCTCGGGAGTCAGAGGGGTAGAGGCCATGGCCACAAGGGAGTCCTGCACAACAGGCCCTAGGCTCATGGGATGAGAACAGACAGCAGCAGTTGAGGTAGCAGTGGCCAAAGCAGAAACTCAGTAAGTCCGGCACAAAAACATGGAGGGAGGGGGAAGGCTCACATTCAGAGGGCCACCCAAGAGTCCAGGTTTGGCCAGACATACAGAATGGCTAAGCCCCCAAGACAGGGTAGATAATATTCAGATGATGCCCATCTCCCAATTTCCTTGGTTAGAAAATCAGGGCAGAACTGGGTCTTCATGAGACAGAATAATGGGGCCATCTGGGCAAAGACAAGGACAAAGAGGCAGGTGCAGACAGATTTGCCAAACTGAACCCCTTATAACCATCATAACTGCTTCAGCCGTATCCTGCTATTAGCCCTGCTACTGTGACGGTGATGTCTAGGGCAACTCTAGCTCTGTTAGCAAAAATAAGTAGTTTTAAGAGCAAAATCTGCCTTGTCCGACTATTGAATTGTATGATTGTTTATCTACAGCTACCTCAGCAGTGCTAAGAGCCCAGCAACAGTTATCTCCTGGACAGTACAGAATCTCTCTCACAGTTACAGACAGAGACGACAGGCAGTGCGAGACACCAGACAGCTTCACTCTGGAAGTCTGTCAGTGTGACAACAGGGATGTCTGCGGAACTTTTTACCCAAGCGGAAGCCCTCATCCATATACAAATCAATCATCAGTGAGGCTGGGGCCTGCCGCCATCGGCCTGATCATCCTTGGTCTTCTGCTGTTGCTCTGTGAGTATACCACCATTTCTTTCTGTTTGTAACAAGGTGTCAGCATTTGCAGAGGTCTTCTTGCTGCCCACGCTCATTTCTGCAAAGCAAAGCAGGAAGAGCTGTGCATGCTCTCATTGTTTTATAGGTAAAGTTATGAGGAAATGGCATTTTCAGGAAGAATCTGAAATGTCTAAATTGTCACTTAATTAACAATCTGTATTTATGATACAGCAAACTAAGCCATATTTTAGACATTTAGAAAACAGCACAAGAGAATCAGGAGGGTGTGAGGAATAAATCAGGAACACTATGTACTGAAAGTACATACCAGTAACCAGTTGCCACTGAGTGAACTCTGACTCATGGTAACCCCATGTGTGTCAGAGTAGAACTGCGCTCCAAAGGGTTTTCAACGACTGATATTTTCAGAAATACAGGTAGTCCCCAACTTACGACGTATTCAAGTTATCACAAACTGCACTTACAACCTCAAGGTTTTTTTTTGTACATCTTATCATTAGTAATATGTACTACATACAGTGATAGTTTGCTGAGGTTATCATTCTCAGATGTTCATTGACAGATGTTTGATTTTATGATTTACTGTTTACAAAACTGCGGGCTATGGTCTGGTCTACAATGAAGTCGGTATCAGTGTCAGGAGTCATAATGGACAGAAAGTTGGGCAATGTTCAACTCTAACGACATACAACAATTGAACTGCACACACATCTAACAGCCCTTAGGACTCCAACTTCGTCGTTATGACACTGACGCTGACTTCATTGTAGACAAGCCTATAGGGTGATCTTACTCAGCATTTTGTACAATAAGGAGCACGTTAATTTGAAGCCAAGTTGTTCAAGTTTCTCTAACTGTAACACCTGCACTGCTTATACCCCCAACAATATATCTAACAAAAGAAGTCGTGCCACTGATCAGATTTAGAAAGGTACTGATAATAAAAGGCAATAATAATGAAAACTAAAAAAATGAACTATTCGACTTACATCAGAACTAATCCTCAACGGAGTCCTCGGAACAAAATCCTGTCATAAGTTGGAGACTACCTGTAGATTGCCAGGCCTTTCTTATGAGGTGCCTCTGGGTGGACTCAAACCTCCAATCTTTCAGTTAGCAGTCAAATGCATTAACCCTTTGCACCACCTGGGGATGTCTATGCTCAAAATAATAGCTTTATCCACCAGTGCGAAGCACCTTTTAAACTGTCTTCTCAATATTAAAGTCTCATGAGATGCTTCAATAAAGACATCCGTGGTCAAATAAATTTAGGGAAAATACAGACTATTCCAGGTTTTGAGCTTTAAAATGTTCATTAATACATCATAAGCTCTTAAAAATAACTGCTTAATCCAGCATTTCTTCAAAATTGTTCACCACGAGAATATGCACCTTCTTTGAGGGTTTCACACTTAACATGATCGTTTCATTGAACACGTTTAAGGAAACTACACACAAACTATTTCCCAATAAAGTAAAATTTATTTTATTCAATACATAAGTTTCTGAAAAGTTGCATTTGAATGAAAATCTTGAGAATCAAATCATACTTTGAATGTAATAGAATACGTCTCAATTTAAAAGAACTTTTTTGCAAATATTGTATAAATGAGGGAAATCTTTGATAAATTCACAAGCACTTACCAAATTTGTTATAGAATCACAGATTCTTAGAGTTAAAATGAATTTTCATGACGATAAAATCCACTACAACCCCTACATTTATATTTTTGATTTATGAAAACATTTTACAATATAAAATGTAAACTATGAAATATTTTTAAATCTCAGAAAATTACATGACAGGCACACGTAAAACCATCATTCAGACACAGCATGTGTTAATGTTCTGCCATATTTGTTCAGGTCTCTTTAAATGCTACAGCTACAGCTAGTACCTTCCCACACATACCATATTTTCTCCAGAGGTATTTACTTTCTTGAAGTTATTATGCATCATTCAATTTAATAGCTGAAACTGACCCTCAGTTTTAATTGTTTAATATTACATTAGTCAACTTCAACAATAAAGATTTTTCAAAGTACCTATAGGTGAGTCACTATGCTAGCTGCCAGGTCCCTGGGTGACACAAACAATTTGTGTTCAACTACTAACCTAAAGGAGCTCTGGTGGTGCAGTGGTTAAGAGCTCGGGTCCGCAGTTCAAATCTACCAGCTGCTTCTTGGAAACCCCATGGGGCAGTTCTACTCTGTCTTATAGGGTCACGATGAGTCAGAATCGACTCGACGGCAATGGGTTATTTGTTTTACTAACCTAAAGGTTGGCAGTTTGAACCCACTCAGCAGCACCTCAGAAGCAAGTCCTGGCAATATGCTTCAGTAAAGATTACAGCCAAGGAAACCCTGTGGAGCAGTTCTACTCTGTAACAAACATGAGGTCACCATGAGTCAGAATCAACCTGACAACAATGGGTTTGTTTTTTGTTTTTTTAATGCTAGCTGCCAGCTGAAAGGGCAACTTGATTCTGGTTTTCATGTGGTTCACAGACTATATAAAACTTCACGAGAAAAAATTATACCATGATAAAGTTATAACAGAAGAAAATACAAGGTACTATGGAATATTACAGAAGGCTTCACAGAGTAGAAGAATCAATAAATGGAGCCTTGAAGAATGCATAGGTTGTTAACCATTGTCATAGGGCAACGTGTGTACTGTTAAATGAGAAACTATTTTGTTCTGTAAGACTTCACCTGAAGTACAATTAAAAAAAAAAAAAAGAATGAGTAGAATATAATACGTACAGAAGGAGGGAAAGGTGTTTGCAAAAGGCAATGGCATGAGCCAAAGGCTAGAGTAAATTATGGAGAGTGAAAGAGATGAAACTGGAAAAGGCATTGGGGCTCATTTGAAAGGGCTACACGGTGTTTAGATGTTAAGATATGAGAAAGGGGGGTTGCTGAAGATATCTGAATAAAAGGCTAGCATGATATTTGTGTTTTAGAAAGATAACCCTGGTAGCATTGTATATTGTAAATTAGAAAGGAAAGTTCGAAGGTATCTTAGGGTTCTCTAGAGAAACAGAACCAGTAAGGTATATATGTAGGTCAGGCGACAGGCTGGAGATTCCTGCAGTCTTCTGTCCCAAAATCTGTAGGTCAGGTGATAGGAAGAGTGAAGAGTAAGGGAGTTCTGGCAAAATGTCTATTTAGAGTCTGGAGGCAGAATACATCCTAGTGAAAACTCCCTTTTTGCTCTTAAGGTCTTCAACTGATTGGATGAGACTCATCCACATTATGGAAGGAATTCTGCTTTACTTAAGGCCAACTGATTTAATCACACTTAACTACTTCAAAACAGCATTTAGACTAGTGTTTGACCAAACAACTGGGCACCATAGCCTAACCAAACTGACACATAAAATTAACCTTCTCAGAAGGTTATTGTAACAATCTAGGAGAGATGATGGAGACCAGATTTAGAACCATGACATGAGACTGGAAAGGAAAGGATGGGTGTGTAAGACATTACAATGGTACAATGGGCAAAAATGGACAGGAAAAGTGGATAAGAAGTCCATATGACACTAAAGTTTCTATGGTTGGCTGTCTGTGGTAGCTGAAGTCATTAAATGAAATTGAAAATATCAGTAGAAACATAGAGAGGTAGGGTGTGAAAATGAGTTTGATTTTGAAATGTTGAATTTTGCGGTGTGTAGTATGTCCTGCAGGCTATTGCATATTTGGGATTGTGACTCAGGATGGCAGCCAGAAGAAATATACTGTGTTACTCCCACAATAATATTTGCTTCATATGATCCTACCATACATTTTTCAAGTCAATAGAAATACACTCACACTTTGAAAAACTTTCATATACATACATAAAAACCAAATA